ATCAGTGCAGCTAATTGCACACACACAGAGAGCTCTGTGCTCCAGGACATTCCCACATGTCCCCCAGCAGCAGCCAGTTGGGGACTTTGGTGTCAGCAAGGTTCAGATGAACCAGTTCATCCCAAACCCTCTCAGCAGTGGCCAGCAGGCTGCTGTGAAACAACCCCATCTCTGAGACAGACAACCACCTCAGCTATAATTAAAGATAATTATTCAAAGGCACCCTGTTCCTGTAGCAGTGCTCAGAAGCTCCCTGCATGAGCATGTAGGCAGCAGGGCTGTTTTTCTTCATAAAAACTTATGAGGAACGCTGCGCAGATTAACAGCTTTAATGACAAAAATTACCGCTTACAACACTGACTTCAAATCAAAGAACAATATCTGCAGACAGATATTTTCATGGTTTTCATAACAATTCATTATAGGTGGCACCAAGGGATTATATTTTTATTTCCCTTGTGTCATTTCTCTCAGACTCAGGTTCATTTCTCTTAATGAGGCAGCAGAAGATAAAGGGCAGTGAAGGCTCCTCCAATGCCTCTGCAGAATGTGAGGAGTTTAGGGGCAAAGTGATAACTGATCCTCTAAAGGAAGAGGGAGGGCTTGGAGAGGAGGGGGGAGAGGGAGAGTGATGGGGTGGGATGCTCTCTGCCATAATGAACTAAAATTAAGACATAAATTCTCCTACCTTTGTTCCAACCAGATCTAACAAAAGGGATTCAGCTATTTAATGAAGAATGGATCAGTAGCAAAATTATTAGCTAATTAATTGTAGAGGGAAGGGAAAGAAAGAGGAAAGGGAAAAAAAATTTTGACTGGAAGGACAGGACTGAAAGTTCTTCACATAGGCTCTCAGAATAGGAAGGAAGACCTTGGATTCTGGAAGCCTTTACTCAGGCAGCAAAGCCCTTCTTCACACCGAGTTTGGGATGGCAAGGCAAAGGTTGAAGCAAGAACAAGCAAGAATTAAGCAGACCTCAAAATGGGTTCCAGGATTCCCCTGGTAGTACCAGGCTTGTTAGGACTGAGTAGAGGTTCCCAGTGAAACTGGATGGAAACTCTCCTGTGAATTACTTTTCTGTTGGAAACAGCACAAAAGGGTTCCTGGGAGTGTGGACTCCTGGCACAGGCTCAGGAGACCAGGCAGCTGTTTTGTTTCTAAAACAAAAAACATCAACCCAAATGCTTCAAAGTCTTCTGAGAACTAAACAAACCAAGAACCAGCATTTCCAATCCATGGAAATTCTCATTCCTGAGTTTTGTTCCAGCATTTGTTTCAACAATTTTGGTTTCCTGTGAGTGGGGCAATCTGCATTTCAGTGAGTTCTGCCCATCAGTTAGGGCCACAGGGCTCCCATCATTTGTGGCTCAAAGGGGGAAAAAAAATAGAGAGAGAATTCAGGGTTTCCTCTATTTTCAGGATTTTCAGGATTCCATTGTCAGAAAAAATCTTATTTGAACTCACCTCTTTGTACTCAAAGGGGAACAAAACAGAAATTGGGGCTATAATGAAAACTCCAATAAAGATAATTGCTTTCTTTGGGTTAATCCTAATTCAGATCCTTCTTCAGTCTGCTCTAAGTAGTGCTTTCCTGAAAACCAGCATTTTAAGTGCTGCTAGAGTTGGGCAAGAGCCTGGGAGCCTGGATGGGTAAATAATCTGACAAGGCATAGAGACAGGAGACAAAGGGGCTAGACAGGGAAAGGAGAAACCAAGGATAAATGAGATACAGTCAGTGGCATTCGTGTGTGTTTGGCTGTGGGGAAGACAATCTTGAGAAAGAGGAAAGATGTATTTTTATCGTAACCCCTTTCCCTCTACTTATTCTTGGCTCCTAACTTTTCACCCTCTAAATGCAAAGGGAATAGCCATCCTTTTGAGATGGGTAGGCTAGACTGAAACACAGCCTCACTTTATGAGGTAATTATTTTAGGAGTATTTAGCCCACACTCTTTCTGCCTCCTTCAGATTATGAGGAATCCTTCCTGCCTCACCAGGGCCCTGAGTCACACAAAAGGTGTTTCACACCCGCCTTCCTGCTCTGCACCAGCATTAGAGGGCACAGGCTCAAGAATGGATAAACACAGGGCTAAGGACTTCCAAGGTCCCCTCCTGCCCTGTACCCAGTGAGCTCCAAGAATCTACAAAGTTGACCTTCCAAAAAAAAATTAAAAATTTATATATATATATATATATATATATATATATATATCTCAAGTGGGTAATTATTTGCCTTCTGCTTCCCATATTTTTCAGACTTTTCACTTGAAATCAACAGGACTTGAATCATGTCTCTGGTTTAATGAAGGCTGAGCTTCTTGTGGACTCACATGACAGCAGGAGGTGCTGCTCACTGAAAAGCCCAGGATGGTGGGAGACTTTGATAATATCACGAGAGTTGGTAACACGGGCAGAGGACTTTGAATGAAGCTGTCTGACCTCCTTGGCCCAAGTGCTTTTACAGCCAAGCAAAACAATTTCTCTGGACTCTAATGAATAGACTTCTGTCATTGTTCATCATAATAATGCCCCGATCCTGGCAAGATTACCTAGATGCTACCATAATCCTGCTAATAAGTGATGATTATAAAACACACACTTGAGGAAAAAGGAAAGGTAGAATTTGGATCTTTTGCCCCAGTCTCTTCCCAAAGGAAAGCAGGATAATAAATGACTTCTGACTGTGATACATGACAAAGAGCCTTTACCACATCAGAGTCTGCTACAGCAAAATCCAGCCAGCTCACTCAGTTTTGTCCATAAAAATACTGCTCTATTCAGTGTGAGAGGCCTGATAAATGGGGGGGACCATACTGAAGACAACTAGTGAGTATTTTTTTTTATTTCTGGGAGAAACAGCTGGAGATGGAAAAAAAAAATAAAGATTAATTGTGTTTTTGTGAAACAAGCATTTTTTGTCAAGCAGCAAAACTTCCTCATAGTACTATGGAAATATATGATTCTCTTATTATGTGTGACTTCCTAACCATTTTCAGCTAGTGACTTCTGTTTTCTGGCAAAGGCCAGCACCAAATATTTTACCCACTGGCAAAACTGTTGCATAAGAGAGCAAAGTGTGACTAGGAAAATAAATAAACAAATAAATGAAGTGGGCTAATACTGACTATTTTGTTCTTAGAACAGAGCATGTGTTATGCTCCTGCTGTCCCACTTCAACTAAGCTGCTGTCTCTTGTCTGTGGAGGATACTAGAGGCTTCTCTTCTCAGGGCAGAGTTCCTGTTGAAAACGTGAACATGAGAGTTTTTGCTTCAGAATTTGGTCCATCACAGCTGGTGGGGGATGCCCACAGCAGAGTTTTCTATGCTTGCTCTACTTCTTGTTTAAGTGTAACACTGCTTCCAATGCTAACATAAAGGGACTGCTTCGTTCAGAAGCAGTGACAAGAAGGTAAAAATTCTTGCTGTATTCTGTAGCCTTAAAAGCAGGGGATGAGATCTTGGTATACACAATAAATAAAGGAGAGTTAAGATTGTCCAAGGGGAAGACCTCCACAGATACAGCATAAAGAGATCTGGGTAAATGTCATCCTGGAAAATATTTAGATACTCACACAAGAAATGTGTTTTTGTTATGTCATTCCTGTAACAACACATGTGTCACCCCATTTGCACACTAGAAGTAGATAGTGTGCAAGCCTGTGTGAATTTAGAAAGCTCAATGTATAGTTTGAAAAATCATCTTGCTTTCACAATAAAGTTATCAGCAGCTCAGCTACCACCCAATCTAAAAAAGCCTTCATCTTAAGAGGAGAGCCTTTCTCTTCCCACTGGATTAGGTTTCAGTGGGAGCTAGGCCAGGAAATTGCTTTTATTTATATTCTCCACCCCTGGCAAAGTCAATGGCCTCATTAATCCACTGATGGACCAGCATCACGATGGAAACTAGAGATGCAGAGGGGAAGAGTGCCAGAGGAATTGCTGCTTTTCTTCTCTCCCCAGCCTTCACCTTGCCTTCACCCCAACTGCACCTCCAGATCCCTCCTGCCAGCATGAAGAGCTTTTGACACCATCTCCTCCTTTCCACCTGGATATCCACCCTTCTTGGAGATAGAAGGAAGACTATAGTCCCAAATTTCATGGACACATCACATTTGCTAGGATGAATTGGAAAAGGTTGAAACTAGCACGTTGCCTCTGGGATCAGGACCAAATAAACCTTCACTTCCTTAAATATGCAACAAAATTGTAAAGCAGCCTGTAGAAAATTAATTGTGGCACTGACTGGTAAATCCAGGGGACACTGTCTCCATTTTAGAGCTTAAATTCTTGCTGAACCTCTGTTGGAGGGGCTGTTACCCTCTCCCTTCTTTTCAACACATCTTTTTATGTTAAAAGTATTTTTAACCACGGGCTCTGACACTGTGACTGGCTGTGCTGTGACTTTTATTTTCCATATAATCTGTCTTGCAGTGGAAGGACCATTAACCAGTCAAACAATGTTCTATCCCAATAACATTATCACTTAGAGAGCATGGCAAGAATTTCTGCTAACTAGTGGGCAGTAAATTTACTCTTCTAATAGGTTCATCTTTTATTAGGTATTTATTTCAGGAGGTTAAACCATAATTAGATTGCTTTAGGAAGCTGAAAAAGAAAGGAATGGAGATTCCAGCCTGAGAATTTGTTTTATTTGCTCCTCGGATGTCCAAAGAAATTCTCAGCACAATCTGTATTCCTCCAGATAGGGGGTTGCACAACTAAACAGCTCCAATATTTCTGCCAGGAGTTTGCATTTGTCTTTCCTGTACAAAAGTTATTGCTAAGCTGTAATCCTTCCCTGAAATACAGTGTGTGGAGCCAAGGCTGAACCCAATTTACTGTGGCAGATGAATATAGCCAAGGTGGTGGTCTGAATGTTTGGCCTAAAGGCACAATCCAATTTTCAACTGTTTCAAAGCTATTATGTCAAAGGCTGTTTGCATAAACATAACAATGGGAGCGAGCCCCGGCGGAGGCGGCAGCAGAGGGGACGCTGCCCTCTCGCGTCTCCTGCCTGCATCTGCCTGCAGCTTGCTGAGCGCTCCCGATGCCAAAAACTCGGGATTTTGGGAGGAGAGCAGGTGTGTGGGGCACTGCTCCACACACAGCCCGTCCTTCGAGGCCCTGCACAGCGACCCAGACGAATCGGAGGGCCGGGCGATCGACAATTATTTGCAATTTAATGAGGGCCGGGTTCTGCATGGGGCAGCCCTGGCTGTACGGACAGAGCGGGGGATGAGGCTGGAGAGCAGCACCCGGGAGGGACCTGGGGGTCGTGGGCGGTGGAATTGGAGCCAGCAGTGCCCTGGCAGCCAGGAGGGACATCCCTGTCCTGCGGGGAGGGAGCACCGCCGGCCGGGCCACGGAGGGATCGTCCCGCTCTGCTCTGGGCCGGGCCGGCCTCACCTCCAGTGCTCGGGCAGCTCTGGGCACTGCCATTTAAAAAGGACAGTGGGGTGTTAGAGAGAGCCCAAATGAGGCTCTGGAGATGGCGAGGGCCTGGAGAAGAAGCTGTTTTGGAGGGGCTGAGGGCACTTGGTCTGTTCAGCCTGCAGGAGGCTGAGGAAGGGCCCTCAGCAGGGGCCGCTTCCTCAGGACGGGCAGTGCAGGGCCAGCTCCGAGCTCTGCTCTGTGTGACACCGGCAGCACAGGGGAGGTTTAGGGTGGATATCAGGGGAAGATTCTTCCCCCAGAGGGTGCTGGGCACTGCCCAGGCTCCCCAGGGAACGGTCCCGGCCCTGAGGCTGCCGGAGCTCCCGGAGCGTTTGGACACTGCTCGGGCACAGGGTGGGATTGTTGGGGTGTCTGTGCAAGGCCAGGAGCTGGACTGGATGATTGCTGTGTTCCCTTCCAAGGCAGGATATTCTGTGATGCTGTGTTTCATCGCTGTGTTTGTTTCATTGCTGTGTTTGTTTCATCGCTGTGTCTCATCGCTGTGGCCGTGCCTGCAGGTGCTGGCTGCCTGTGTGGAAGCGCTCACAATCACACTCGCTTTAGCTGCAGACACACACACAAACACACACAGACAAGTTTTTCACATGCACAAGTGTCTGCACTGCCACACACAAACACACACAGACAAGTTTTTCACATGCACAAGTGTCTGCACTGCCAAGATTCTGGTTTAAAAAAAAAAAAAAGAAAAAAAAACAGAAAAAAAAAAGTAGATTCTGCCAATGGTGGAAACGGGAGAATGTTAATGACTTTTTAAACTTTTCTCAAGCTTGAGAAACAGATGTGATTATTCAATTCATCACAAAAAAAAATGTCTTGCAGCAGCATGCATGTGATGAGCTGACTGATGATGTGGGAACCTATGAGAAAGCTGTTTCCCTTATTAGAACTGGAGGGTTTTCAAGTCAATGTTCTATTTCTCTTTCCTGTTACGTACACACATAGATGCTTTCTTAAATAATAGAAGTATAGGCTAAACCTTTAAATCAATTTCATTTGAGTGATGAAAAACAAAACAGCAGACCCAAAGATCCTGTAACCTGGACTGGAACTTTCCCCAGATCTGCCATGCTCAGACAGTGTTTGGACTTAGGCCAAACATACAGACTGGACCCAGTCCTGATGCTCATCTCTAAATTTGAAAGATGGGAAGAGGATACACTTATCAGTTTTTTGGAGGGTAGCTGGAGCAGGAAAATCATTAAATGACAGAAGCTGCCAAAAATAAACATCCGCTGCTTTAAAAAATCCTCCTTATATAGAACCATAAACGCACAGGGCTTATTAAGACATCTGGCAAATTATTTTTTCTGATGGAGAGAATTCTCAAGGCCTCAAGCACAGAACAATAGAGGATTTCACAGAGAAACAGATTTGCAGAGTCAACGTTGCACATTTGTGGGAGTCTGAGTTCACTGGGGTCCAGCAGTTAGGATGGGGCTGAAGCCAGCACCAAGGGACACAACACCACAGCCACCTGAGGTCAGAGCCCTTCTCATCCAATATCTGATTTTCAGTCAAAGCTGGCATTGAACAACACTGATTACTATGATAATGTGAAGCTGGATGTGTGTGACAGATACTGAAAAACTGGGTTCCAAAATTAAAATTCTTTCTAAACTCAGATGTCTGGAATCTCAGACCAAGAAACATAAGATTTTCCATTGTTCCAAATTTCCATCTTTGCACTGACTCCTGTTAGAAGCATGTATTGTTAGAAGCCCAGCGCAGCTGTGACTGAACATTTCTATCATCTTCCTGCAACATGGCCTAAAACTCTACCTAATTTTGGCAAATTAACAAAATGTGTGTCTTAGAAGCAAACTCTTTACCATCAAAATATCAGCAATTTGAATGAAAAAAAAAGTTGCAACTCATCATTATGATATCTCTTTTAAACAACCCACTAATTACACAAATAAAATTAAAAAAAAGCAGGCAAAACACCCCACAACATCAAAGTATTTATCTAGTAAAAATAATAGATGATGCAGAAGGTAAAGGGCCTGCCAGGGTTAGAATGGGTGTTCAAACTCAGGATGTAATCAGCTACAGACAGCAGCCCTTACTCTAGGAATCCAGTTGCCTCAAAAAGATGAAGCAGATCAAAGCAAAGCAACAAAAAGACAAATAAGCATTAAGTTAGAAATGTGAAAATTGTTATTCTCCTCTGTAAGTTACTGCACATGATAAATTTCATCATGTATTTCCTTCCAGAGCCAAGGTAGGATATGTAAACCCTGGCTTATGCTTAAGAGGCACCCGGGCTTCCTGGGATCAACAAAACACCACTACAGTACAGCAAGGTGTCCCCAGGGTTTTCCTTGCCTGTGAAATGGGACAGCGACATCTGAGATAATTACATTTTTCATAGGACATCATGATGATTAATTAGTTATGGAAGGAGGAGAGCATACAGAAATTAAGGAGCAGATATTTTTATGTGATTGAAAAATATTTTTATAACTCAGTAAATGCTGCCTGATATTCAGAAAGGAGAGCAGAGACGTTTTGAGCTATGCCCTGAATAGTCTCCTCAAAGAGAGCATCTGCCTGCAAGATCTACTCTCAGCCTGTCCCCACGATCCTCCCAAACCCTTCCACACACATGGAAACCCATCAACAACAGCTGCTGTGATTCATGTACATGAAACCAGGCATGAACTCGGGCTTTTTGGAGGTCAGGGTGATAAGAATCACGGGACAGGCACTGAAAAGGGAAACGTGACACTGCTTTTGCCCAACTCAGTAGCAAAATTAAGTCTCCCAACACCCCGCCTGATGCTTCACCCACAAAAGCATCTGCCTTCCAGGGAAGGGCTGTAGGAGCAGACGGAACGAGGATGCACTGAAGCAGTAGTGGGAATGGCTGAGAGAGACAGCTGAGGAAGGGTTTAATGAAGACCAGCTTTGTTGGATATTTTTCTGCATCTTGTTGTTTTAAATTTATTCCTGTTTACATTGTTTCAGTTGCTGCTCCGTCCTTGGCTTTCCTGGGACCACTGTTAGATCCTCTTGGAGAGATCAGGATGTTTGGAATTGCAGTTGTGCTGCCATGACTCGGATGTTAGAAGCCACTTAGGCATAAACAAAGCCTACAACCTTTGGAATCACTCCTCCAAAAAGGGCTGTGACAGCCCCAGGAAGACACCCAAAGGCAGCTCTCAGCTCCACCACCATGCTCTGGCTGCAGCAGCTCCAGACAGGGCACGTGCAATCCTCAGAGGCATTCTCTGAAGAGTTTTTTTTTGAAGACAAGTTTTGGTGCTTTGCAGAGTGAGTAGGGCTATTACATAAGTTTTTCAATGAACTGCAGATCAATTAAATGCAAAGAAACAAGAAATAACTCACTGCAGGAGGGAAAGTACACAGTGGTATGTTGTAAGGCTGGCATGTTGTATTAGAGACTGGTCAGTGAGACCCTACAGACAGGCTCCTGGTCTCAGACATGTTCCTTGGATGGCAGTTCAGCTCTGAGGGACAACTCCAGCAAAAGCAGAACTGGAAGGATGTGGGTAAAGCCACAGAGCCAGGACAGGTTCTTGATCTCAACAGTTCTGTTAGAATTTGCTTCACACTCTCTGTGAAGTCAACTCACTCTACATTTTTAACACTCTCCTGCCTATAATGACCCAATTTCTAGCCTTGTGAAACACAACCTCCTAAACTGGAGAAAGCAAGAATATCCTTGAGCTCCTTTATCTGTATGTGCTCTGTTCCAGTCATACTCCCACACCCTGATTTTCAAGAGTATGAGTCAAGCAGGAGTTAAGACAAAAAGAAACAGTCCTGTCCTAGACAGAAGTGGAAGAAGAAGCCCCCCAAAACCAGTTGCCAGCACCAGAAGGTCAGTTTAAATGACCAGAGGCTCTGGAATGGAGAAAAGGCAAAATAAGTAGAAACTCAAGGATCCTGTAATTCCATGATATAAGCCATTGTAAAATGAGGATAACATCTGCCAAAGACATGCAGACACTAATGCAAAGAGGTGCAGCATCCTGTGAAGCCAGCAAGCCCTCACTATGTCTCATGGCATGCCAAAGCTTCCCTAACATTTGTGAAATGCTGTGAGAACCTCAGAGTAAGGATGATATTGGACAGCAAAGCAGCATTGTTCATCAGTGTTAGAACTGAGGCTGTGAGCTGACAGCAAAATAGATGGAACAAAAAATGTCAAAGATTCAGAAAAAACTGCAAGATGCATAAAGGGAGCAGCTGCTTTCCCCCTTCCCCCTTCCTCCTTCCCCTCATGCTCAGATGTAATAACTTTCCCTAGTTCCGTGGCTCTCACATAGCTAATGCTGTGTTCAGTTGCTGGAGTCTTTACAGATGCAATGCATTAGCAAAGCCTGCCAGTCGGCATCCTGTTTTTCCAATCACTCTTCTGAAACTCCTCCACTTTTCTCAGAGGTTTTATCAGAAAGATGTTCCTCTGAAACATTTCAGCGAGGGGATCTGACAGCTCTTCAAACACCAGCTGAAATTCATTTGTTTTCCTCTGCTTCCTGTTTTTACAAGTTCATTAGTGTTTCACCAAGATAGACTCGAGATTAGGGACTTTCACCAGCCATGCTGGATCCCTGACATATAAAGACATGGGAGACTGCCTGAACCTCCACATTGCATACATAAACAGAAATGCATGACCTGTATGCAGGTACACAGCAAAAACATGTGTGTGAGCTCTGGGCATGGAGTAATCCCCTGGACTGCCTGAAATATCGAGGAATGAACACAGCCATGACGTGTGAACACATCCACACACATCCCTAGGAAAAGCAAAGGCCCCATTGTGGGCAGCCTGACACTGAGCCTTTCTCTTTTAGTGGAATTTCTGAGGCCAATAAAGTAAATAAGCGCCTGAAGTATCTCAGCTGTGGTCCATAGGTCAGGGCTGCTCTCAGGACAAGCAGGAGGCAGAGCATGTACAGATACATTCCTGAGGACTCACAGGCGCTGAGTGTTGCAGCTCCATGAAGAAGGCACTGTGTGTGCTCAGGCATCCAGGCTTTTAGCATTATCTGTCTGGCACATTAATATGCTAATTGTAAGAGAAGAAATGTGGAACTAATTCCATGTATCATTCATGTAAAAGCATATAGGTAGCAGTAAGATAGGGTTGTATCAAAACAGACATAATCACATTATTTTTGATGTATTCTAGAACAGGAGTACAGAGTATGTTCTCCTATTTAAATAGGTTAACAGGCTGTTTAGTTACAACAGCGGCAAGAAAATTGAAATCTATTTCTAATTTACACACAGAAGCTGCTTTCTCCTGTGTCCCTGAAATGCAGCCGGACAGCTTCTTCTTATAAATTGCAGTTGTGAAGAAAAGACTAAGGAACAGGAGAGACAGTTTTCAGATTAGTAAATCTGTTTATTCCAAACTCATAAAACACCATTTTGTTGCTAGTAATGATGAATTAACAGTTGGCTCTTAAACTGTCTGCCTTCTGTTTGGTTTTTATTACTGCTTTTTCAAAATCTCCCATAATTGATCAATTCAGAAATTACGAGAAAAGAAAAAAAAAGGTGAAGGGAAGCATGTCTGCTTTGGTCTAATGATTTTAAACAAGCCTGATGTGTCAGCCAACAGAAAAGTGCTGTTGATATAATCATGGGTACTGGGTACCTTACTGTACTCCTACATTAAATTAAATCTCTATGATCCAGGAGCTGGAGCTTTCTGCTTGATTGCTAAGAAAATGTCAAATAACATCATATTTTTTTTAAGTGGGTTCTGAGGCTGGTGCTGATTTACAGCCAAATGTTTATGATAGAATCAAAAAGCCTTCTCTTGTGTTTGCTTTTGTTGCAGGTCAACTTCTGTGATTTCAGAGCTTCATCACATGAATAAGAACAGCCTCACTTTTAAAATGGTTCCCTGGATGACCAAAATACCAAATTCCTTTAAAATTGTCCTGAGCCCTTAACAGCACAGAACCATTATTAACTTATTGCCAGGGACTATAAAAGAGAATATTATTGCTTGGCTACACACTGTATTTGTTGTTTTGTCTTCTGTTTATAAGGGATGTAAAGCAACTGCTGCATATCTTTCGACTTTGGAACTATTTACCATTTCATGCTATTATTAAAATAATTATTTATTTATAATGACCAATTAATATTATGTAGCTCAAGATTACTACAGTACTTGGTGTCTCTTTGTGTTCCCTCTAAGGTGTTTTGACTTGCCAAACAGAGCTGAAAACATAATCAGGTGTTTTCATGCTATTTCATGCTATACTGCTCTCCCCCTGGCTGAACCAGCACTGCTGCAAGAGTATTTTATTTGATGTGTTTCACCTTCACCTTTCAAGGTTTTGCTGAAACCACCACAAAAGGACACTGGAGAGAAAAGTATTAAGTAAACCAGCAGAGGTTTCCTAGGCTATGGGGAGAAGGCTTACAGTCAGCTCAAGCCATGGGGAAAGGTGCAGATAATCACCAAGCTTTATCATAAAAAATTAGAAACACCACCATCATGTGTCAGGGGGATGGTTTTTTCATCTGGCAGCACTGAAAATTTTACCCTGACAGCACAGTCACATAGCAAAGAAACAAAAAGGTCTTTGGCACCCCACAAGCCCTACAAGAATATTGGTGGTTTTGTTGTTCGTCCGTGCTACAGAAACCTGCAAGTGTCTGAAAAGGAAATAGCAAACCTGACCCTCCTACCTGTTGCCTTTGTTTAGCACCAGCCAAAATACTTTATTATTCATGACCTACATAATACAAGTAGCATGTTAGAATCTGTACAGGCAGGTGGAGAAGAAAGTAATACCAGAGGTAGCCAAGTTCACTGTTTACCTCTCCCTGGCTTTTTAGGAAGGTCTTTACAGAAACAGTGGGATCCCCATTAACACAAAGGATAGGATGTGCTGCCTTTTGCACAATCTACCAGTGTGAGAAAATAGCCTTCAGTGCTGAAGGGGGAGATCAAAACCTGTTCTCAAGTCAGGTTGTTAAGACAAAACCCTACCTGGCAGTTTCATCAGTTCATTAGCTGTTGTAAATGAGCAATGTATCATATTTACTTGAATATAATCTTTTTAAGTCTTCCAGGCTCTTAAGAAATAAGTGTCACCTTGGGGCTGGTATCCTTGAATCTGAGCAAAACCAACAGAAACATAGGGGAAGGAGAATGGTAGAACTAGAAATGATAGCAAAGTTAGCATGTTTGGAAATGATTTCTACTGTTTCCCTTTGAAAATCCCCAGATATTTAATGTGGAGTCTTATGAGTGTATAAATTACCTTTTGGAAGGAATGGTTTTTAATGATGTGCTTGACAGAGGGGAAACACAGGGGCACAGGAGAAGCCACCTGGGACCAGAGCACAGCGTGACTTCAAAGAAAAAAAACAAGAGCTGAGAGTAGGAAAATTCATCAGGCAACTTGGCCAAGGCAGCGGAAGGCAGTGGAAAGAGATGAGAGAATGGAGAAAAGCTCCAGTAGATCTTCCTTGCTCATTGTTTTTCTGCTGCTACTGACCCCTCCATCTCCTTTCCCTCCAAGCAGCCAAGGCAAGGTGAGACTGTCTGGTGTCTGCAGCCCAATTTCCCCCTCACCCCAACACCATCTGGGAATCCACACTCCTAATGGAGTTTCCAGATGTTCATGTCATTGTGGTGTTTGTGGCATTCTGGATCTGCACCTTCAGTTCTGATGTCCTGTGTCTCAGCCCTGGCACTGGACATGCATCAAAGCTTCACACTCTATAGCAGAAAGCACCAGAATCTCAGCCAGATGAAAGCCTGATGCAGGCAGGGATGACTGAGCCTTCATTACTGATGTTCACACCAGCAGAACTATCATGCAGACAGTCACAGATGTGCTGAAGCATCTAAGGGGTCTAACACCCCATTTCCATACAGCCTTTATTTAAAGCTGGTCAACTTCCAGTGCACACACCTTCACTACTGGCATGTGCACTGCCAGGAAGAGCTTCATAACAAATAGAGGTATATCTACATGTAAAATACCAGAAGGAATAACTTTACCACTTTGTTGGAGAAAATTCTATCTAATGGGTCATTTACACCTACACCTTCCATGCTGTAACAGCCAAATTATTCCACAACATGATATTGTAGGGATCCTTCCCAACTTTGCACCTGCACAGCTTAAGCCAGAGCTTCTCCAAGGCAGACCATACCCCTGACATAGTTATAATTAACATTTACTGGGTTTAAAACCACAATGTTTACAGATTTGTTTCTTCAGACTTACGAATATTTCCTGCAAGTGTCATTTAGGTGGATGTTCCCATCCAGACAGTTTCAGGATTGGTTTACCTTTTTACCTTCCTGCTGTCAAGGTATTTGAAAGCTTTGACAACAGGTTTGCAGTAGATGCTGCCCACAAGGCAGGGTTTTTAGAAGCCTGGGAACAGTGCAATATCTCACTATCCACTAAAAGAGAATAATGTATCAACATTATTCTGGCCTTCAGAAAGAGGAAAAATTGCAATATTGTTCTCTGCAGCTGCTCTAAAAAGTCTCAATGTTGCTCTAGCAAAAACTTGACCATATTGCAAAGGAGTATTAAATTAATGAGAATTAAAATTTAAAACACAGTAGCCATTACACAAACTCCTGAGCCACAAGTGCCACTTCTGTAGTTTAAATTAATCCCCTTGGAAAGTGGATCAAGCCAAGTTGCACAAAGGCACTTTAGTACAGAGGAGCATCCACTCTGGGATTTAACACAGAACAGTTACAGTGCCTAAAACATACCCCCAAACTTATTCTGTACTAACTTCCTGCTCAGATAAGCCTCAAGAGTTGAACTTTTTGCTCCTGATTTCCCCTGTGAAGCTGTGCAAAACCCAGGGTGGAGAGAGCATGTGCCTCGGAGAACAGGGGTCAATCTATTCCTTTGTTTTCTCGCTTATATGACAAAAAAAAAAAAAAAAAAAAAGTTCCCTTAAATTCCCAGGCAGGGAGGAAAGTCACTTGGCAAGCAGACTCCTTCTGAGTTCTTTTACTGGAAAGATTTATATTTTGCTCACCACAAATATACGGAGCAGACGTATAGCACACTGCGTGCATGCCTGTGCTCCTTGTAGCAGAAGGTTTTGGCAGTCCTTTCTAGTGCGAGGCTTAGAAAAACTCACGCTGCTGAGGGCAACCTGGCCATTGTAAAAGCCAAACCCAGCTTTTAACTAGATATATTAGAGATTTAGGCAGTTGTGATTTTAGGCCAGAAGGTACTACTGATCACCCAATCTAATCTGCACAACACGGGCCATAGGGCTTCTCTAAATTAAATTCCACACTGAGTCCAATAGCTGCAGATGAATTCAACTATCTTTCAGAAAGCCATCCAATTGCAATAGAAAAGTTTCCAGTAATGGAGAACATACCACATTACAGAATACCATCTGTCCAGGATTTCTTGGACAGCCTCACTGCATGTGTGGTGTTTGCACCCCGTTCAGCAATCCAGACACTTCCAGAAAGCTCCAAGCCTGCTGTTCCCATGCAGAAATTACTGCAACCTGTGGCTCCTCACAAGTCAGCCTGCCTTTGGATAAGAGCTGCTACCTACTTAGAATCCCTAGATTCTAATGCAGCTAACCCTCAGATCAAAAAGAATTAGGGGAAATTCCCCCTCTGTGTTCTCTAGAGGACCCACAGAACAGAGGTACAGAGTACCCAAATCACAGCCTCTAGTGCTACTAAAATGGAATTTTTCCTACCTGTGAAAAGTATCTTTTCCTTGAGGAAAGGCAAGTAAAATCAGAAAGAGAAACAAAACCCTTGCCATGGTAAAAGAGTTGTGACAAAGCCCCCAGCCTCTTTTCTTCATTTCTTTTTCAAGCTGTTTCTTTCACAAAGAAAGGAGTCTCATCTGCATAGAGCAGATAAGGCCCTATAGCTGTCCTATCCCTCTTCTCAGCTGTGAACAGACTTTGTCCCCAGAGGAACAGTGTTAACCTTTTCTCTACTGACCTACTGGGCTAATTTATTCTTTGGGGTCTGGGGCACATAGAAAGTGTCATAAGGACTTGCAAGAAGTCAGTTGAAAGCAGGAATGAAATCACTGCTTCTTGAGACTGTGGCAGTATTGCTGGTTGCAATTGCTGGTGGCAATAAATTTTGCAAATTAAGGTGCATTTCTCTGTATTGTGGGCAACTGAAAGGAGGGAATTTCAACTGCATAATGATGACTTAATTTGTTCTGCACTTCGTCATGCCAGATTTTATTGCCTCTCCTGAGACTTCATGTTCTGTCTCGAAAGCAAAGACCTAATTATTGTTGAGCTTTACCTGTTTCATAGAGTTCCTCAAAACTTTGACAGCACAACAATCACCATGCTTTTCAAAATGCCTGGTGTTCACAAGGACTTCAATTCTGAGGGCTGAAACCATTTGGTGAGTTTTCATGCAGAGTCCAGTATCCCCCTTCTGAAACATAGGCATTTTTCAAGTATTTCCAGCTGGTCAAGGAAGTCACTTCAGGTATCTCTCCCTGTCTGTCCTTAAGATATTTAGTTCCAGGAGGGGTGGTTCCAATGCTGCTGGTATTGGCATAAAGATGCCTTGTGTGGGAATGGTTCTGAGCTCTCAGTGAAGGTGGAGTGACAGCAGTCAGCTTTTGAAGAGGAGCCACACAGCCCCTTTCCCCTTCATATCCTGCCTGCACCCACCCAGAGAACCCTTCTGGTTTGTTAATTCTGGATTTTTAGAGCACTCCTGATGCTTACCAGGATGCAAGTGTTTTAGCCAGTGCAAAGTAGCATAGCTAATTAAACTAATACAAATATAAATGCAGAGCCCTATCATACACAATGACTGTGCTTTGGCCTAATGCACTCAGAAAAGTCTTCTAAAAACATTGCTAAGTGAAAGTTTTATAATATAACTTGAGATTGAAGCAGTATTAGGGATATGGAATATTAGGGGAGGAAGTATTTTTTTTTTTCTCTCATTTTATCCTGTGTTTAGAAACAGAATTTTACAGGCCAACCAGCCAGCTGGTGCAACATCCATTATTTACTCCTGTTGGACAGGGAATCTCAACAAGACCCAGCACCAGTGACCTGACACTGGCAGCGTAGAGTGGAATCAAG